TTATTATCCTCCTCCTCACTATCACCGGAGTAGCTCCCTTACCTCTCAATCATTGTCCCGTTCTCAATCATCCACACGTCGCAGTAGGTCCGGGCCACCAAAGTTGCCGCCACCATAACCAGATACATTGTCTTAACCAGGTCACGTGGGTTGGGAGGTTGAATCAGGGAGGGAGTGAGGCGAGATGGTTTAGGAGAGGAATGGGGGAGGAGGAATTGGGGGGGGGGGGGGGGTAGGGAAAGAATGAGGGGGGAGAGAGGAGACAGGTCAGCATTGGGCAAAGTTCAATAGGGAGGGTTCAGGGGCAATGGAGGGCAACGTTCATTAAATCGAGGAACATGAGGTTTTAAAATAAAGTCAGAATTTTTTGATGTATTGTCTTTCAAATTTAGCTTGGTGTCACTGTGGTCTGAGTACTTGACTCACAAGTTGGAAGGTTGAGTTCAAACCCTGGTCGGAGTCGATTCAGCCGATTACCGTCATCGCCACTTCAATAGGAGTCTCGCCTTCAAGAGCCACCCCTCACCCCAAATTAGAGGGCACTTATTAACACCCCATAACAAGTTGTTCACCAAGTGTCGGTCATACAAATTTTATCTCTCAAGAGCCGGGCTTGGTTGAATAAAAAACAAGATTTACTATTGAAATAATGAAGATCACGATGCCGTTTTTCTTATGTTGTTCCAGTCATTAGTGATCAGGTAGGTTGTGACACTAAACTCATGAAACATGGCGATATGGTTTAATTAGTCAGCATATTAATACCTAGGATCCCTGTAGGGGTTTTACAATCTCTGCGAAGCCAGGATTTTAGTGGTGCTGGCTCAAAGTCTCAAACAGAGCCATTTTGAACTCCCAAGAGAGGCATGTGTAAACCCAAACCCAGGATATCAGTGGTGCTGGTGGAGCATTGTCAACATGGCCTTTATGATCTTCACATGAATGTGCAGCCCTTTGCCAATCCACTGCTGGATATGACTTCCCCTCTCCATGCCTATCCATTATGGGGTTTGTATCACCAACCTTGACCACACTGGTCAGTGTGAGTTGGTGAGGGGGGGGGGGGGTAAACCTAGGAGCAGTTGACATATCACTCGTCACTGTTGTTAACTGTGGCCAGGAATCCAACTCAAGTCACTGGGTTCTGAGTGCAGTGATAACCACTGCACCAACAACACTCCATCACCATTGAAGGCATTATAAATCTGAGACAGCCATTGTGAACTTAACAGCTAGCTTTTAGGGGTGGAGAGCTTTCTTATCATTTAGAGGCTGTAAGTTGACAGAACATCTCGCTCACTAAATTGTGCGACTGATAAGACACACACAACTATGCCTACACAAAGGTCGCACACGTTCCCATTTCTGTGTATGTGCATATGCATTTTGGTGCATGACTGCATGTCTCTGTATATATGGATATGTATGTGTGCGTGTCTGGATGTAACTGTATTTTTGTCTGCATGTGTATGTACAGTTAATGTGTGGATTTGGGTACGGATGTAAACTATATGCGTATGCATTGGAAATGTAATGATGCTTCACTGCATTTATTAAAATACATTTTGACACTCATGATACAAGCATATCCAAATGATATGTCATTATATTTTCGCTGAAAGAGCGACCAGTACTATAAAAAACGACAGTATAAACTAGACAATTCAAACAAGAATGAAAAAACGCATTTTTTTTTTTTTTACAAATAATGACCTTCACGTAACAATTTGTCAAATAGTATGTGTCTGTACATGTGCAGACATATACTATATTACATACACAGACACCCATACAACCTTTAAACAGACTGTTGGGGAAAGTGCTGTTAGCGGTCACACACATTTTAGCACATAGCGTATCCTCACCAAGAAAAACAATGACTGTCATTTTCTACTAATCAGTGGTGATTTAACCAGAATACTTGTGCCAAGCCAGGTGCACTTGGAGGCAAGTCAAGGGTCAAACTGAGGTGTTAAGGGGTTAGCCGAGTGAGATGACTGACAGTTGCACACACATTTCATATCACTTTCATATAACAATAACAACATCTAAACTCTTACCTCCTTAGAAAGCATCCCAGGCACCATGATTTTCAAAATCTGCCAAATTCGGCCAAAAAATGCCTTGTCAACAGCTGCCCTCTCTCTCTTGCCATCCTTCTGCACACAGACACATGGACAAGTCCCGTTTGCATCATCACCATCACTACTACCACCATCATCATCATCATGCTCACAACCACCATGTGACAAGGTAGAGGAACACCGTACCTGTCGCCATCAAATGGGGTAACCCATGGGATAACCAACGTTGGGTGTAGTCGCCACCCAAGAGATAAATCAAGGCAGATCTCACTGGCCGAGATGCAGTGCAAGGAATAGGAGAACCGGTTTCATAGACTGCCATTTAATGTGCTGGCTTGCGATTGTGCAAACCGTGACGACGCGAGCCAGCTGACCAGGCATGCACCATGCCTCTGCTCTTCAAGCTATAAATATACGATTGTGTCTGTAGTTCAAGAGAGGAAGACTGACTGCACTGGGAGCTAATGTAAGCTGCCATAGAATGATGGGCTCACGTAACACAGATGAGAAAACAATGTGCTTTGTAAAAAAAAGTGTATATGCAAGTCTACATGAGGGGATGAACCCAACGTTCTGTAAACCCAATGAAGTATAAAACCAAAATGAACTGTCTGGCAGCGTGTAACAAGTAAACTGCACGAAAAAACTGTGTTAAACAACACAACATGATCACCGCCATCATCAATTATGCACACAACACCTTAATTTAGCCTGTGGGGGTTGTTGGAATGAGTGCTGTTAGGAAGCACCTATGAAGTAAGTCATGTGCTTTTTCCCACTCAATTTCAATACCTCAACCACGACATTACGCTTCAAGTGAGAGAGACCCAAACATCAAATCCACATTCGCAGTAGTGCTAGCTCAGTGTCTCAGACACGGCCATTGTGAACCTCCTAAGGAAGAGCCTTACCGAATTGACAACAATTGCAAATCCATCACCATCTTTCCTAGAAAAAGAAAGACAAAATGTTTATTACCTGTCGTGTTATCAACAGCAAATGCATCACATTATGGTTGATATATGTTCTTGTACGTTACGAGCCTTCAAAATATTCAAAAGAGCAACGATTTGAGCTCGGTCGATACACTGGAAGAACACTGGTGACTTCCCACAAAGTGATTCTATTTACTTCACCACCACATAGGGGATGATGATGATGACTGTTGCTCCCGATTCTGCTGCTATAGCTGTTCGCGATGGTGTTTACAACGGTGTTTTTTTTTTACTGCAGCTGAACAAATTGTTGTTTGCTGATGCTGCTAATGATGCTGATGATAATGGGTCAAATCAAATTAGCAATGGGGTTTCAAAGACGATGACAGGATTCGCAGGACACGTACTGCCAGTCACAATGCAAACTGTAGGGGGCGTTTTTTATAGTTCAGAATCAGAGCCAGAGGAGGAGGGGGGGGAAATCCGGCACTTGTCAAACATCGAATTAATCTTTTCCTTACACTTCGTGTGATTTCAGGGAGGCAGAGTCAGTGAATTATATTTATAGGGAACACACTGTACTCTGGATATCCTAAGGGGGCATTCCTCGGAAGAAAAAAAATTCGATTTAGTGTCGTTACCTTCTTTAAACCAGGTGAGGGCCCAATTTCAATGGACCCTCACCTGGTTTAATCGTGTACTTTATTTAACCTTGTCGATTTTTTTGCCGTCCTTTATTTAACCACGTTGACATTGATTGCACCGTGTTCTAAACGAATACCTTCCATTAGCCATGTTAATACCCCTTTCAACCGAATTACCCGTTGACACCGCTAATTAACGAGCCGCAGGGTACAGTAGTACATCTTGAATGACTGACGCACTTTCTGTACAGTGAGAGCTCATGACACACCTACAACCAACCAGGCGAAGTTGATTCGAGCTCAATATTTTAACCAAAACGAAATTTCAACCCGTGACCCTTAACACAGATAATACTGTATAATAAAACCCGACACGGTTCACAAAAACCGCACCTATTTTTCTTTTTGCAACGTAAATGTCTCCCCTCCCACCACCACCACCCCACACAAATGCCTTAGATACGTATGTGCGAGCAACGTTACGAACTATACACGCGTAGTTTTGTGTCAACTCAAAGACTCGCACGCACGTTCACCTAAGGTCAACTGGAGCCTTTGCATTCCATACAGCGCTTAGGCGCGCAGCTCCCCACAGGGGAACCCGGCGCGTCAAACGTCGACCAATCACGTCGCGAGGCCGCCATCACGCGACGCGCGCGCAGCCAATCGTGCTGCAGCGCCGCACATGCAAACTACGAATTCCAAAGACACTTGGGCTGCTGTCCGAGACCCATTGAAAGCGACGTTCGCATCGATTTACCGACGACGGGATACCGAGAAGCGCCGCAGACAAGAGCGCGAAGTGGCGGCGATCGCACGTACTTGGGCGGTTTGCGCTGGCCGCGGCGCCGGGAGAGGAGGTAGCAGGCGATGAAAGCGGCTGCCGCGGCAGAGCCATTGGTGCGAGTGAACAGCTTGCTCAGCGCCGCCATGTTGGTAAGGGGAGGTCGTCCGCTTCCGGCGCGGCTTTATATAAACGTTGTGACGTCATCGCCCCGCCCTCCCCACTCTCGCCCCGCCCCCTCTTGGCTCTCCCCCCCCAGGGCTGCTCTTTCATTGGTCAGACGCTGCCTGATTCTACGTCACGATTAATGACAACTGAGAATGGGCGTGGCTTGTGGACGGCGTGGGCGGAGTCGTCATCTGCGAATCGATGACGAGCGGCATGACGTCAGCGGTAGGGGGCAGAACTCTTCGTTGCGGTGACGTCACCACTAAGCCGCCAATCGGCGTTGACATTGTCGATGTGTTGGTGTCACCAAACACGATTCGATTCTCATAACCGGAAAGAGGGAATCGATTCCTTGTCGCACACGATGCCTAACGTGCAAAGAATCGAATGAGGTTATCTTCGCTGATGGAATCGATTCCTCGCCCTTCTTAAGTCTTTGAGCGGCTGTCCAACTTAAATTAAGAAGATTGTTGAATATCGCACTAAGCGTCGACTGACTTAGGGCGCGATGGGGTCGCATTTGACGCGCCGCTACGTGACGAGCACCGAGACCGAGCCAGACCCGCAAAGCAAACCCTCGTTTGACCCCAACAAGGGCTTCGGCGAACGGCAGGAGAGGGGTGAGGCCTTCAAACCTGGCGTCACGGGGCAAACCGCGGCACCTTCAGCCTTTCTATTTTATATTCGTGTGCGAGTTGTATTCGTGTGCGATTTGTATTCGTGCGTGTGTCTGTAGTTGCACGGGGTCGAGCACTATACGCTTGCTGACGTTTGCGCGCTCGTATTGATTTGGACAGTGCGGTTACTATTAAGCCTGTGACCAAATCTGGTGCCAGAAAGATGTGCCCAAGCTGTTTGGTACAAGACGGAGGAATGTGCAGTGGACACCCACGGGATATCGTGATGATGATGATTATGATGACCACCAAATAACCCGCACTGTATCACGTAACGTCAGACCGTGTAAGCTAAGCATGCGAAGAGCCTGGATTTTGTTTGGTTGGGCGGCTGGAATTCAGTTGTCATGGGGCTGTGGTGCGTTGTCGGCAGCAGAGGGCACTGCTGCAACATCCATGGTACTGTGATGGTGTACGCTTATCACCACAATGTGCTCGTCACCACAGTATCATTAAAGTGCCATGTCATCGGGGTGTATTCGTGTGTGCTTTGTATTCGTGCCACCATTCACAGTAACGCCAATAACATTGCCTTAAAACAAAAGTATAGAATATATGACGTTTCAGGCAATTACCCTCCTTATCACATAGCACAGTAAATGGTCGTGGCTTTTTTCCGAAAAGTTCCAGAGAAATTGGGCTATCAATATATGATGTATTTGCATTCTTCACCCTTCAAACTCTTCTGATATAACATTTCATACGTCTAGGCCTGAGGACAAACAAGTTTAAAATACCCCCCCCCCCCTCTACATTTTATGAGGCCCAAAACCAAACATTTTTTCAGATTTTCCAGTTATGAGCAAATTAAATCGTTATAGCCCTTGGAGAATACCATTTTTCGTGTTTAGTTTGTTGTCTTTCGCCTGCACCTCCGATTAGCATGGTTGGCTACGTATGGTGCGAAAGAAGTTGAACATTAGTATTTACATCTTTAAAGGTGAGAGAGTATATGTACGTGAAACTCATGAAAGTTAAACCCTTCCAAGTGTTGTTGTTTAAACAGATGATGCTGTAAAATATTGCATCAGAAGACCAAAAGGTTGTTGAACTCCAATGGTTTATATATGACCAGACAAACCGTTGCGTTTAAACTCTGTCCACAAGGTTAGCTCATAGCACATCCAATGTTGCTGAACTGTGCTTGACGGGACTTGGAGTGTTGTCTTTAACATTAGACCAATCAATTAGCATTTATTTAACATGTTATACATTCTAGAGTTTGCCTGATTAAATTAATGCAGATGGAAAACATTGCAGCTGAAAAAACAGAATTGTATGTATTTGTATGTGTATTATTTTATTATAAAGTATATGATTATATACGTGTGTGTATATGTAAAACATCTATTTATCCAGAAAAGTCTTCCTGAATCTCAAGACTGGATTGGGATGTATAGAATTATTTGGTCAGTTCATTAATTAATGTTAGCATTTGCGAAGACTGCCCAAGTACCCAAGAAAACCCATGCATACAATGGGATGACTCAAAAGTTTCCACAGATAGATTCAATAATCCATTGCTGCGCTGTTGTCTGCTGGGTACTACACAGCCCAAGACGACAAAACCTGGTGGTCAGGCCTCAACCTGCTTAGCTTAGCTGGTGTTCGGGCCAAACCCTGCTTCGTTTCTGAGTTCTGATAAGGCCATACACATTCCAAATGTGTACAAATGAGTGATGATGTGTGGTGGTTAGCACAATGCACTATGAATTCAGCTAGCTGAATTTGAATTCGTGCCAGAGCTAATGCCAGTGGCGATTATCTGAATCGGTCCTGGGCCTCTGCAAGGTAAACTGATTCCTGTTTGGTTCTTTCGGTAACTACGTGACTTTACCGAAAGAACCAAAGAGTATGGATTCCTGCAGTCACGAAAGCTTAAAATCAAGATTGAGAAGCTGTTGTGCGTAAACTTTAGCGCTGGAGAAACAAAAGCAGCTTGCGCATGGCGTTAGACACACCACCCCCTCGTGTTCCCTGGTGGCCTTCATAGGTGCTCACTAACAGCACCACAAAAGTCTGTTATGGCTCTATGGGGAGGATCTTTGTCAATGACTGTGCGTGTATTTGTCTGTTTGTCAGTGATGGTGGCCACGGCGGAACAAATGCGTGATGCTCAGGTACCCGTAGTTCTCCGTGACTACTGCGCCCACCACATGATCATGTGGCTCAAGTGCAAGCGCGACAACTTCCCCGACATCTTCGCTTGCGGCCACCAAAAGCACTCGTGGGAACAGTGCCAACACGATGAGTGAGTACACTCGCTGCTGTGTACACACGCACACTTACGTAGACGCCATTTTCAGCAGCAGCTATTATCCACTGCTGGATGAAGGTCTCACGCCATCGCCATCCTTCACTGTCCTTGAACTCCACAATCCCTCTCGCTCCTGCAAATTATAACTGATCTCATTGTTCCATTTTTGCAGTGATTGATACTTGATACTCCTGTATGTATGTATATTGAACTTCTATCGCACAATACATAGCGAACCGTACTAATTGGATGTGCGGGGGAAGGACAACAAACTAAATACAAAAAGCAGTTCTAAAGAAATTAGATTTTAATTTAGATTTAAAAGTGCTTAGCTCCAGTGGCTTCCTAACATCGGAAGGAAGAGCGTTCTAGACGGCTGCAGAATCAAATCTGAAAGCACGCAATGCAAGGTACCCTCCTTTCCATTGGCTGCGAGTATGTCACCATTCTAGTCTGTCAGCTCATCATCTTGTTTAGCGATGTGTCCTGCCAAAGCCCACTCACTTTTATTAATCATGAAAGTGCTATCTCTAACTTGTGTTTGTTCCCTGATCCAAGTGTTCTTGTTTCTGCCTCTAATTTTTATTCAGAGCATAGATATCCCCATACTTCTTTGCACACTTTTCCAATTTGTTCATATATGTGTGTGTGCGTGCATGTCTCTGTGTGTTTAGTTACGTGATGCGCATGAAGGAATATGAGCGCGAACGTCGGCTTCTGGAGAGAAAACAGCGTTTGGATCAGAAACAAGCAGCATAATACACCTGGACACATATACATACACACACAAAGACATCGATCCCCCATTCATCCTTATAGAGACTGTTGGGGCAAGTACCATTAGCGGAGCACTCATTAATTCCAGCATTGTACACAAGGGGGCAATATGGCCAGCTATCCACCCATTAGGTTTTGTCTACCCATTATCGATGTTCACCCACCTCACCGGCCATGGCGGGGAATTGAACTTGTGTCACCAAATTCGTAGCTATATGTGTGAACCACTTTGACACACGCACGCACACAAGCACACGTACACAAATCATACCCCCGCACCACCTCCCCACAAGCAAAAGGCAGAGCCTCTCACCATAACTACTTTCATGTTCACACACTCGTGTGTGTCCCTGCACATGTGAGCAGGCTGGCGCATCACGACCTGCCCATCGGTTGTGAAAGAACATTGTTCGCGAATAAACTTCTGAATAAATCATTAAACTTGGTGTTTGCGTTGCGATGTTGAAACGTGTTTGGTTGGGAGGTTCAACCAAGTTTGAACGCAGGACGTAAGCGGTGTTGGCTCATTTCTTCTGACAAGACCATTATAAACCTGAGACACTTAGAAGCATAAACTGACCTTGAACCCACAATTTCAGCTTTGATGCCTCAGTGCTTTTGACAAGACTATAAACCTAACAAGAATTTGAACTGAAAGAGATGCCCAGTCTCAAAGCTAAAACTGGAGATGTTCGCTCATTTTCTCGCACGGCTGGTATGAACCTGACATGGTTGTGTGTCGAATAATAATTGTGAGTTCTCTTGTTTCATCCCATAACTACATAAAATACCGCAAATATCACTTGTATTGACCAAACATCTCAATGCTGAAAAATCACCAACATTACTCGATTTGGATTTCACATTGCAACATTGCCTGCCCCATATGTAATATTCTGAAAAAAAATTACGACACTCAAAGGAGAGACTTGTAGACTTGAAGCTCAAACCCAAGATTGGTGTCGTTTTTCCTTGGGTGTCTTTGATTTATGAACCTACCCAACGTGATGATCATCATAAACTCACGTGAGAGGGACAGATACCACATTTATTGTGCCTTCAAAACAGCCAGCTTCGTGTCATCTGGCCCATTAATGTTGAACTATGAATGGGAAACGGATTGAATGAATATTTCGGAACAATGGCATTTTCTTGCAATGTACCAATGAACATAATATTAAAATCTTTTTGGAACGAAAAATCAAAGAACTTTTAATTGAAATATTGTTGCTCTTAAATGTTGGAAACGTTCCAAAATCAATGGCCAATAGTAAATGCTGACATCGGCTTGTTTTCTAAACGTGCCTGGCACGTGCTTTCCCTGTGGTGGCAACTGTTTGCGTTTTGTAGATGAGAACAATGCGTACAGGACTAATCTGAGCGCCGTTTTCGACTCGTTTTCAACATACAATTGCGTAAGCAATCCCTGTCGCGAACACAATTATTACAATCATATTTCTTTCACATCCGAATTACGGTAATTATTTAGAAACTCACAATTATCACGGTTATGATGAGCAATCATATTCAAATGACTACAGTATCATTAAATACTGTACAGTAAAAGGCGGCTTGGCTTTTATTCACACGTGTGTTCATCAATAATGTTTTGTGGAAATATATATCGTGTCGGTCATGCAAATTGGATATCAATCGATGAGGAACCACGGACAAGCTGAGAGGCAGCCCAGGCCAGGTAGTGAGTGGGCGTGACCAACAATTGCCAATGCTCTGCGTTCCTCTACACATTAAGATGTTATCAGCCAATGTATGACTGTTTATACATCTCGGTTCTTGCGGTAAAGTCACGTAGAAGGGAAATAAAAATAAAACAAATAAAATTATCACGACGTTTCGGTCACAACACAAGCAGCCGTCCTCAGGTGAAGAAACAGAGCTGTCGGAAAGACAGCGCTCCAATGAACACTGCTAAGCTTGGCAGCGTATTTAAGCTGGGTGGGAGGAGCAGAGCGCCTTGACAAAGGAGTTTACATATCAACAGAGGGATTTAGCATAGAAGTAGATATGATAATGTGATAGATGTTTATACATGTTGATGACAATCGACCGATGTGATCATGACTTGTTTACTGGATGAATGCATAAATATAAACCATTTCATTCTCACTGCTGATGACTCATCCGTTATATTGTGACGTTTTATAATTGTGTCTATCATGTGTAACGGGTGCATATTAACCCCGACCTCTGCTTCTGGCGATGAGCGCGTGTATTGGTGTGCACAATTGTGTGTCAATAATGTTTTGTCGAACTGTGTGCTGTATATGTACATTGTTGGTGTGTGTGTGTATTGGAGAGCGGTCGTGTCGCTGTTGGCTCGCTGCGCTACGAACCTGGCGACCCAGTGACGATTATCTTAACCGTTCGTGGACTTCCCCTAGGTCGACTCAGCCTCAAATGGGTTCCGAGTGCGATGTGTAAATATCGCCCCGAGGGAGACAAAGGCGGTCGGACTGGGCGGGTGGTCTCGGTCACAGCTATGCCCTCCCTTCTCAATGCATGCCCAGCCACCGCATGTGCAAGCAACTTCTGCGGGCTAGAGAAGAGATGGAGCTGAGTGGACTTGCCGAAGACTGGTACCAGCGGTGTCAAGATGAGACTCTCTCTCTCGAGGAGGGAGGAGGACGCTGCTACTGAACAAATGGAGGGCAGTTGCACCCTCCAACAACAACGGAGGGCACAGGAGCGACGCTCACAACAACGAACGGAGAAAGTTGGAACAGTGGGGGGAGCACGGAGTGGGGGGGGGTGCATCTGAAGTCGCATCTCAGTTAACCATAACACCTGGGTCTGTCCCGTGGCCTCCTGTCAGCGAGCCTTTGACACTTCACGTGGCCTCGAAGTGCACCTGGCCTGGTACAAGCGCCACACAGTGGCGAACGGCGGTTTTTGTTGTTGTGTCTGTTATAATAATAACATGAATATATGCATGATACATCAATACATCAATGTATTATGCATACAACAATGTATTATGCAGAGTAATTTAGCGGTGTGATTTTGTTACAGCCTAAATGTTAAAACTGTAGTGGTATAAACACAACTGTCGGCAGTAGCAGAACATGCATGCCAACAGGGACACTCAATTGATTTTGACAACGTGGAAGTGTTGTGTAAAACTAGTTACTACTGGCAAAGACTAATTAGAGAATCGATTGAAATTGAGAGAAACAAATAACTTTAATTGCTCAGACAGCTACAGGCTTAGTGCGGCCTGGAAGCGTATTATTAAATAAGATACATTACAATTCCTTATAAGGGAAACAACCACTAACTGATTACTAATGTAGCATAATCACAATAAAACACATTCCAAATGATTACTAATCTACAACTCGCATCATAACAATAGCCTGATTACTAATCTAGTATATAATTACAATCACTCCCCCCTTGAATCTTTGCACCTGATGAGTTGATGAGTTAATGATGACGTCACCCTGCTGCTGCTCTATATAAGAACGGGAGACAGCAGAGCCTCACCATTCTGGCGAATTGCCCGATGAGGGGGAAACCACCCTGGCTTGCCAGGGGAGACACCAGGAGCATCGAGGTGATCCTTCCAGCCCGTCCGGATCTCAAGTGAGACCGAGCCACCAGCCCCGAGGCCTGCGAGGGCCCTGACCGTGTGGACAGGGATGACCACGCTGCCAAGAAGCGGGGACTGCTGGAGAATGGAGACGGAAATTGCAACAGACGAAGAGGGGAAACGGCGAGAGTCAAGGACCACGAGAGCCACCCGAGTTGCTGAAGGAGACCGGGATGACCGAGCAGCCCAGCTTATGCTCGCAGCAGATGAAAAGGAAGCAGGGAGTGCGTCAAGAGAAATGAATGCCACCTGCACTGCTGAGGGAGCCTGGGACGACAGAGTCGGCCAGACGGTGACTGCAGGAGACAAGAAGAAGACGCGGCGAAAGCAGAGGGCCACCGACACCACCTACGCTGCCGGTGGGGACTGGGGCAACCAGACCGACCCGCTGGCAGCAGGGGGATGCGTGGAGGAGGCATGGAGACGGATGGAGGGGAACGTGGCGGAGGCACGGCAGAAGGAGAGGATGGAGGAACTGGATGGGAGGGCGGGAGCTGATGGAGTGGGTGAGGGAGGCCGAGGAGAAAAAGGTACGGTGTCCGGACGCAGAGATGCGGGGGCCCCCGAGTGGAGGGTGTGGAATGAAGCCAGAGAGACCCCAGCAACCCTGGGGCAAGGGGAGGCCCGGAGGGAGAACGTGACAGTGGACGCTGGACCGGTGGGAGCTGGGAGGCCCCGGGAACGAGACGGGAAATGGCGAGGCGGGGCAGGGGTGAGTCTGACACCACCTCATGTCAAACGACATAATTGCGTCAGAGTACTGATGAAGGACGAGGTAGCAGAAGAAGTGACCATCGACCGAGCGACCTTTGTACGATCAATAATGATGGGCTTGCTACAAATAGAGCCGACAGACTTGTACTGTTTGATAACTCTGCCGGGAGGGAGGGCGTTTGATGTAAGCTTCAACTCAAGCCCCCTGCTACAAAGATTTATGACCCGCTTCGAGGAAAAGGCGGAGGAGAAGCCATTGATGTCAATGAAGCTACAACTGTTATCAGAGCTGGACACGAAGGTGGTGACTATTTTCCTATACAATGAAGCCCTACATGACCACGACGTGGAGGTCTGGCTAAGACAGCACTGCTCGGTACTGTCGGGCTGTAAAAAGGTGAGGGACTCAGTGGGGATATGGACAGGGGCAAGACAATGGAGGGTGCGGCTGAAAACAGAGGGAGGGACCTTGAGACACATCCCGAGTGCCCTGAACATAGGAGGCAACCGGGGATATGTTGTGTATGCCGGACAACCTAAACTGTGTAGGAGGTGTGGGGGCAGCGGTCACCTGGCTGCAGTGTGCAAGACAAAAGTCTGCTATAGATGCAAGGCACTGGACCACGAGGTAGAAGAATGCAGTGTTCCGGCACAATGTAACCTCTGCGGTAGCCGAGAACACCTGTACAAAAATTGTCCGGAGTCGTACGCCAACAAGGTTAGGGTGTATAGGGTAGGAGGAGCGAGGGATGAGGAAGGGGGTGGGTCCAAACTGGACCTGGATAAGGAACTGGTGAGGGAAGGACGTGGGGAGGTGGCTGAGCAGCAACCACCAGCGACGGATGGAGGGGGAGAAGGGGAGAGGCATGCAAAAAGAGCAGAATCGACATCGAGCGAGCAGGAAGAGGGGCTGGCGGGAGAGGGGAGCGACGGCATGGGCAGCATCTCCGAGACGACCGTGGAAGACTGGGCGGAGGCGGTGGAGGAGGATGAAGGAAAAGGGGAACAACAGCAGGAGGAAGGCGGTAGCGAGACATGGGAGGGACCAATCGGAAGGAAAAGGAGGATACGGAGAGCCCCAAAAAGAGGCGCCCCTTTAGGCAGCACGGAATCCTCGGACTC